GCACTAAGAGAACCTCCCGACGCCGCGGCCCTTCTTATATACCCGGCCCGCCGCCATCTTCTGCCGGGTAACTTTCCATCACGTGATCCTCAACCAATGGTATCGCCGCTGGTCCCGATTAACGGGTCGCAATCGTCTTTGGCTTTTTCATGACCAAATAAGGTAAAAAACCTGGGTCCGCCGCGCTTGGGCCCCTTTCATGCCCTTATAAGGTTAAAAATCTTGCTGACTCTCGACGCTGCTCGGCTCTTCGCTCCTTCACCATTCCTCGTAGTCCGCCATCCCACTTGACTCTCATTTCTCCAGCGTCTTCTAACGGCCTTTCCCTCCATCCTCGGACTGGAACAATCAAGCGGTATTCCAATACCTCACACCACATACGATCTTAAATTATATTTTTATAATTTTTAGTTTATATTTATTATTAAATGAAAGAAAACAATATTTATTTTTGCTTTCTTTTCTTTTATTTATAATATTAAGATCACCACTCGATGTAGTAGGTAACGTGGCTAACTCACTATTTGGCGTACTTGACGCCAGGTATGCAGACGACATGGCCAAGGTTATATATGAGGTAAAATCCAAAGAAGATGTGTTGATGATGCTGCTCAAGAATCAAACGTCGATCTTGGATTCTACTATAAATGTAGTCAGTAAAAACAAGTCATCCGCGGATAACCGCATCAGAAATTTTGAGCATCAACTTGCAACCATCAACAAGGAACGAGGCAGATATCAAGGCGACCACTTACAGGAAGCATTTGTAATCTTAACTGCCCAGCTAACGCTGTTGGATACTGGAATGCAGCGGTCGCAATCGGAAATTGCCAGCGTTCTTACCGACGTTCGTCATTGAACCATCAGTCCCATGCTGGTAACTCCTAAGCAGCTCAGAGACCAATTAGACAAAATTCGGGATCATTTACTTCCGGATTAGAGGTTGCCGGTCTCGTCGGAAAATGTATGAAATGAACTCTATAAAATCATGCGCGCCGAGCGAAACACAACTAAAGATCATTCTATATTCAAAATGACAGTGCCTCTGGTATCAACAGCACAGCAGGAAGTCTTCAGCATCATCCCCATCGCGACGTGGCACTCAGGAGGCTGAAATCGTTTTGACATTAAGACACCTATCATCGCTGTAAGTTCCTATAGAGATCAATTCATTGGTCTTACTGAGGATAAGTTCGAGCAATGTCTAGTACTATCCAACAACAAACACATTTGCTTTAACCATCAAGCCGCCTTCAACGCTGAAAATCGGTGTGAGTTTCAGCTATTAAACAACAAATCTGAAACACTCTATGAGATTATTAAGTCGAAAGCAGACTTGATTTGGTTAAGAGCGCATCAACGAAACAGATGGATGTTTGCGACCCACAACCAAATATAACTTCAAGCTGTATGCCCATCCACCATTCACCCGAATGGATCGGGCTTATTATCTCTGTCCTCAGGCTGCACCGCACGAAACGTGAACATTAGCATTAGCACATTCAACACGATGATCACCGAATCACATTTAGCGTACATTCGTTTTGGCAACATAACAACACCCGTTGTGGAAGATACATCAGAGTCAGCTCGAGAGACTGCAACTCAACCATCTGAATCAGACGAACTGGATCGTCTACAACAAAGGCTGGCTAAACTAAAGGACACAGCACGGTCAAGTCAATTTACCACCGTGCAGCATCATCAAGTAGCCGCGTATGCTGCGTTAGCAATATCAATAATATTAATCATTGCATATAATCTCCGAAAGCGATTCGTCAACTGGAATCCACGACAACGTACAGGCAACAAGGAAGAGAACGTCGAGCAGCCATCACCTGAACCTAACCCACGCAGTTTTGCGTTCAACATTAGCGATGGTTGAACAACTGTTCAACGGCCGGGAAAATGTTAAGACTCATCGACCTACATAATATAATTATTATCGCAATTACGAAGGTCGAACAAAGAATCATATATCATGACACTTGCTGCCGATACTGCAATTATACACCTAGACATTCAGTATGCTTAACAGTGGTCAATCTGCCGCCGCAGCGAAAATAGCTGACGCCACAATTCGGAATAGAGCACGTAGCACTGCATATAGCACTTTGACCCACTGCGAGTTATGCAGAATAGCTGTAATTTCATTTTCCCTTTCTGCATATTTTGTTAACGTAAACACTTGTGTACCTATAAATACTGTTAAGTTTGTTCAATAAAATCAGTCTCAATCTCAGAATACCACTGACTGTTACTCATCTACCATCGCAATCAACAGAGGCTGTCGCTAAGTCTTCAGATCCTCATCTTGCGCACCATTCTCCGCCGTCCACCTAGTTCCAAGTGCTGGGTGCGACACCTAATCAGTAGACAGTTTATATGCTGTATGCTACCCAACCCCCCCATACACAAATCCTGTGACCAGGCGAAGTAACGCCACTCACGCTAAGGATAACGTATTAACAGTATATATTAGCTCCTATGAGAGAATGAATAAACAAACAAAAACTTCTGATATCAAATAAAACAAGAGAGAACGCTATAGTCGGGTGGGTGTCCCGACTATCAAATACCCGTCACTCATCTAAAGGGAGTGCAAGGGAGATGGATATATGACATTTTTTTGATTGCGCATAACTTTTTAATGAATGGTCCGATTTGAAAAATTTCTACATTTCGATAGGTATAAATATACACAACAAAATTGCATTTATACTTTTCAGAAATTTTTAAAGATGTGGGCGCCAGACAAACTTTAAAATCGTTAGTGGGCGATTGTGGGCGTTAGAGGGGACGTGGCGCTCGGCTGAACTTGCGCTGCGTTGGAAGCCCAAGAATATGTGTGGGAAATCTCAACCTTCTAGCTTTTGTAGTTTCCGAGACAGACAGACGGACAGACAGACGGACAGACGGACAGAGAGACAGACAGACAGACAGGCAGACAGACGGACATAGAGACGGACAGACAGACATGGCCATATCGACTCGGCTAGTGATCCTGATCAAGAATATATATACGGAAACGCTTCCTTCTTCCTGTTACTTTTACTCTATGAGTAACGGGTATAAACACATTTTAACGAGGTAAAAAACTAGTGACGATCGCACCTTAACACACAAAAGTACTGTTCGCGCCGCTTATTGAAATTAATTCTGTGAAATTTATTGAATTTAGTATTTTGTATATTCCTTGAATTTAAATGATAACACTATCGATACTAGCTGTTATGAAAACGCTATTGACAAACGCCAAGTGGGTTTTGTCATCACTACTGTTCGAGTAAAGACTTTAAGCTGAGCTGATGTGTATTTTTTCTTCTGGAGAAAAAAAGATCTTGGATCCTTTATATTAAGGCTAGCTGAAGGACTTTGGGCTCGATCATTTTGGCGCCCGAACAGGGACCTATTGGATAAGGTTCAATCCCCGAATTTAATGGAAAGCCGGCGACTGCGTCATAATTGCGACGGCGACTGCGGCAGCATCGACTATATTGGAAAGTGAGTCCGAACTGGGTTGATAAATTTAATATTTCTTTTCTTATTCTTGGACGTTGATGAACTATGGTCAGTACAAACAAGTGGCCCTTACGACACCAAGCAAAGCTTGTTACGCGCGGAGCCCTAAACCGTTTTGGGCAAGTAAGCGGAATCGCGGACATGGAAAAAATACGATCTAAAAATAGCAGTGTTGGGACATACCTAGATACTTTTACCTAGGTACGTACCTAGGTACAATTTAGTGGTACCTTTTACCTTACCTAGGTATAAAAATAATTGGGTACCTTTTACCTTACCTAGCTACAAATTTTTATATACCTTTGGAATTATTAAGGTACTTACATAGGTATTAAACATTGCTCTGATTTAAACTAGCCACATCTGACTGCGACACTGAAATAAGCTAAATCCACCACATCTACACGTCATTGTATCATTTCGTTTCGAAATTGTAATAGTCGGAACGCAGCATTAAAAGTCATTGGAAATTAGCCGTTCTCATGTTTGTTTTGTAAAGTTACCTTTGCATTGCAATTTTCTCAAATGCACAAAACAATTTGACTTTGCGCGACAGACATGGCCGAAAAAGAAAATTTAAACGAGAAAGTGTTGCCAACAATATTAAATGGCAAATTTTTTAACCCGGACGGCAAGTGCGTGTTGTGTGTTAATAAAACAATAAAATTCGATGATAAATCGACAGGAAATCTGCACACACAGCCTATGCCTTTTTTTATGTGTGAGATATGTACATATACACATTACTTACATATGTATGTACATATTTGAGAATGAAAACTAATCGCGGTTTTATTTTATATAATTTTGTGCACGAATGTATGTTCCCATCACTACATCAAATTATTTATGAAACCAAGGTGTATTTGGCGCGCAAAAATGCCGTATGTACGTAAACAAACGGCATATACATATGCACAATATACATATAGTCAATGTTTCTACATACGGAATTTTTGCGCGCCAAATATGTACACGAGGGTTTCATAAATATATTAATGAAGTGGATACGTGCATACAATTATTCATGCCGCGTGTTTCAAAAATATATACACAAAATTATTTAAGCTTATATTTATAAATAATTGGATTTAATTTCAACAACTTTAGAGGGTTCATCCAAGCAGTTACACGGACTACGAGGCCATGAAAGCTAAGAAAGCTAAGACAAATATGGAACTTTGTAACGAAAATTAAAAATCGTTTTTTCGGTTCCTTGAGCTCAGCTTTTATAAGAAATAAAAAAAACAATATATTTACCTTTTACCTTTACCTAGGTACTGGGAAATTGAAGTACCTTTACCTTACCTAGGTATTTATTTTTGCCCAATACCTTTTACCTTACCTAGGTACAAAAACACAGTACCTTTCCCAACACTGAAAAATAGACAGTTTAAAATTAATGCTCACAAAGAATTTATAAATTATTTGAAAACAGAAAATACATAAGTTTATTATAATTAGTGGCATTGGGGGTATCAATAAAATCAGTAACAATTTTGACTCCTACAATCAAGTTTTACTCATTTTGCATTCAACAGAGGCTGTCGCTCTAGTCTTCAGATCCTGATAAAATCTTCATTTTTTGACCATAAACACAAGAGCGTCTGAGCTATCGAACCAAAAACTAAAAAGTAAAAAATGTTAGCTCCGTCACTCTTATTTCTAAAGTAAAGGCATATTATAATTATAAGTTATAGCAATACATATTTATTAATAACACAAAATCAGTTTTTTTTCAAACTAGTTTAATATTTATATTTGAATTCCAAACGAAACAAATACTTAACATTAACCTGCGCAACATCATATACTATATATTCATTGTATAATAATGAAGATTTAAGATTTTCATTGGTAACGGCAGTTCCAAAAGGTATTTCGACTCCATCTTTTCTTATATAGCTTTTCTTTGGATCTGGCATTGTGCGCCCCTGACCAAAGCAACTATGTTTATCCTTTGGTAGTTTTGTAATGTATTTTGCTGCAGTACATTCCATCATATCTCCCAAAGCAACTTCAGAAAGAAGCATTAATCCAGTTGAGTTTTGTTGACTTGTACAACAATAATTTGCTGATTTTGACACCATATCAGCAAAATAAATGCCTTTGCCGAACATATACCCTGATGGTGGCGCTTCTGGAGGAGCAATTTTTAAGCCGTGCGATAATATACCAACAAAATTGGTTAAACGAGATCCGTGCCATAACAATTTTCTATTATGTAGTTTCTTGAATGGTTTATAACGTCTTGCTTCTCCTTGGCGAGTTACTTTAAATACATCTATTATATGTAAATCATAGGAGCTATGTGTGGATGCATGAGTGTTTTTAACATACTTACTTAGAATTGAAAATTCTTCAGTATTCTTATCTAGTGGGTCTAATTCAGTTTTTAACTGAGCATAATGTTTATCTAATGGATTAATATTATAAGCTTCATCTTCAATTTTAATTAGGTTGTAGGCAACTTCGATCTCAGCCAATGAATCAAGCATTTGTCGCAAGTCTTCGATTTGTTTATGTGTTTCAATTAATGTTGGAGATTGAACTCCAAAGTTATGAGGAATTAATGTATAAAACCTATTTGTTGCATCAATAAGTTTTGCATTGGTGGATCCGGATTCTAATAATTTATAAATTTCGGACACCACACTATAGGCCGATTTTATCTGATTTGCACTAAGTTTCCCCAAAGGCATTTTATCCATATCAATATGGAACTCCATTAATGTTCTTTTCATAGAATCAACATCAAACATCAGCGTTATTAAATTTTGTAAAGAAGTCTCTAATTTAGAATTAATAAAAAGGCCGCTCTGTTGTAACAACTTTTGATCATCATCGTACTGAATTTCTATCGGGTACATACAACCAGCAATCTTAACAAATCTGTCCCGTTGATCGAACATATTTCCAGTTTTATCAGCAAATACTTCTTTGAATTTTTTTTTGGCAGACTCACTGGTGCCAAACTCCTCAATCTTTGAACTTCCAATACTAGTTCCAATTCGGCCCCATGAACGAAAAATCCAATATCTGAAATTTGAAATTAATATAAGATTATTATAAAAAATGAATTAAAAAAAGTATTTATAATTCCTAAATAGTTTTAAAAAGTAATAAGAAATTGACTTAAATTCTCAATAACCCACTGTATATTAGATCAACAAATGTTTTCTGCAGGCTTAATGACGATTGATATTGAGAAATGTACCATTTTAAATTTAAAAATTTAAAAAAATTCTGTCTTCTATTATTTAATTTTTGATTTGTTAATTTGAGACATTTAAACAATATTGTTATAAAACAAGAGAGAACGCTATAGTGGGGTGCCCCGACTATCAGTTACCCGTTACTCAGCTGAAGGGAGTGCGTTGGAGATGGAGATAAAAACTTTGATCCGCCGTAACGTTTCAGACAGACGGACAGACGGACATGGCTATATCGACTCGGCTAGTGACCCTGATCAAGAATATATATACTTTATAGGGTCGGAAATGCTTCCTTCTAGCTGTTACATACTTTTGCACGAATACAATATACCCTTTTACTCTACGAGTAACGGGTATAAAAAAAAGAAAAGATAAACAACACTATGTTACATCAATTATGTACCTCGATGGATGCGATAAATTTAAATTTGTTACGAGTTCCCAAGTTAAACTGCGACTCAAGGATTCTTAGCAGAAGAACCTCAAAGTTTGAAAAATGCTAAGTGAATAATCAGAAATTATTAACTATTACACTAGTTTACAACTTTAAATTTTTTTCGAAATAATCGCAGAGACCAATTTTTTTTTAAAATGTTTTGAGTTGCTATTCACGCTGAACAAATTAAAAAAAATTTTAAAGAACCGTTCTGAAGATATTCCCGAAAATCCAGATTTTCGGCACTACTTTTGTAAAACCTAACAGATCTCCAAAACCATTAGACCAACAGACTTGTAACTTACACCATTTAAACGGCAAAAAAAACCCTTTCCGAAAAGCTAGCTGTTACAACCTGTAAAAGTTTATTTAAAAAAGTTTAATTTTTGTCGTTTTAGATAGTTTTCATTTAATTAAAAAAATTAAATAGTTTAGTTACAAGTATGTTGGTTGGTTGGTTTTTAGAAGTTGCGGGCGTTATGACACTTTTAAGTGCGAGAGAGAATTCCTTTTTGTTGTAAAGCGCATTCGAATCAATGAGATTACCGAGAAGAGAGTACCCTTTGCCATGATACCTCTCATGCTTTTTCATATTTCAGTCAGTTAAACATTTCACGAGTTATGTTCCGGTTCAACCATGTAGGCACTTCAAAATATGCTTTGAATGCTTCAAAAATCTGGAACAGCTTTCAAAAAACTCTATTGCTCTGCCCGTACAGACAGATAGTTGAAAATCATTTACAAGTATTTCAATAAATTGTACTAAAAAATCGCGCGATTTTTTATCTGAAGCAATTCGTACACTGCCTGACGATCGTGGGCCAGCGTGATGGTTGGTGCTGTGAAGATCTACGAATAGTTTAGCAAATTTACAAGATTTTGGTAATAAAAGTGGGTGCTTTGTATCGTATGGCAGTGGCGCATTTAACAAACGATCACCGACACGTAGAAGAGGAAGGTTTCTTTGATATGCTTCTTGATAAATGGAGTTTATATAATTTAAGTATTACCGATTTTTATACCCGTTACTCGTAGAGTAAAAGGGTATATTGTATCCGTGCAAAAGTATGTAACAGCTAGAAGGAAGCGTTTTCGACCCCATAAAGTGTATATATTCTTGATCAGGGTCACCAGCCGAGTCGATCTAGCCATGTCCGTCTGTCCGTAAGATCTCGGAAACTAGAAAAGCTAGAAGGTAAAGATTTTCGACACATATTTTTGGTCCTCCTACGCAGCGCAAGTTTATTTCAAGCCGAGCGCCACGCCCCCTCTAACGCCCACAATCGCCCACTAACGATTTTAAAATGTGTCCTGCGCCCACATCTTTAAAGATTTCCGAAAAGTATAAATGCCATTTTGTCGTGTATATTTTTACCTATCGAAATGTCGAAGACATTTTTCAAATCGGACCATTCATTAAAAAGTTATACGCAATCAAAATTGTTTACATATCTATCTCCCTCGCACTCCCTTTAGCTGAGGTTCGACACCAACCGGAGTACAGCTTTCGCACTCCCTTTAGCTGAGTGATGGGTATTAGATAGTCGGGACACCAACCCGACTATAGCGTTCTCTCTTGTTCTATCTTGCGAAACTCTTCAGAAAATTCGAATTGCTGTATGCTGTGTATTATTGTGATAAAGGCATGTCTTAATTCTTGAGCGGTGACATCAACTTATGTATACTGCACAGCTCTGCGTCCTCGAATGAACCGTAGTATGTACGCGACAATTCTCAAGATTTTTAGATATCTTGACTGAGTTTCAAGCAGAGCTTACAAATAACTGTCAACCCATTTTTCTAAGGCAGTTTAGTTTGGCTCTCGAGAAAACCGAAAATAATGTTGCTCACAAAATCTCTCCCTGAGAGTAACCCTTTTTTCGTTTAGCTTGCCGGTTTTGGTCCGACCGTTCGGCTCAACCGTAAAAATCAATCGGACTTTCCGTAACCCTATTAAGTTAACTGTTAAATAAAAGTCAGAAAAATGGGTTTTCTCTAGAAAGATAAAAGTATATGCCTGCTGTGATATATGCATAAATTTTATATAGGAAATCAAGATAATTCTAAAATTGCATTGTACATATAAATGTACACAGAATTTTATTCTGAATTTAGGTTAGCTATTATTTTTTTGTTTGCTTCAATATACATTTTGACTATGTAAGGAACTATCTTTAATAAGAAATGCCATAAGGAACGAATTACCTTTCAAAAGAGCTATAAAGGCAGGTCGGTTCAAAAGAACTACCATAAGTCTTAAACAAAAAATGTCGCAAAGTATTACAACCAGCCTATTCCTACAAAATGGTTCGCTCGTTCTTTCAAATCTTTTGACATATTGGGAATATAACCAGGTAATTTTGTGAAGATATTCTTAGATAGTTAGGAATTAATTTAAATCTACATATACAATATTTTAAACTGCTAAAGGAGGTTTAACCTGTTAAAAGCTCTACTTTTTCCAGCAGCTAAAAAGATTCGCTTCTTGTTACGTGGATTTGGTTATTAATTACTACATGAGAGAGATATGCCAAAAGTGGAGTTTTGGAATCTTAAATTATTAAAATAATAGGTTGTCAAAAAAGTCCTGCGGTATTTTTATTATATTTTTTTATACTTTTCTTACATCGAGCTTTTAAGTGACTCAAAGCTTCTTCAAATGGTTTATAACGGCTTGATGACTTAAGCCAAGCTCTTGACCGATGCTACGGCTACTACTATGCCAGTTTTATCGCAATTTTCTTCGACAGGACTTCCTTCTTTGACCACCTCTGCACCAGAACGAAAACGTTGAAACCATCGTTGTGCGGTGGAAATGGAAACTGTATCGTGTCCATAAACTGCGCAAATTTTACTGGCGGCTTGAGATGCATTTTTGGCTTTATCGTAGTAGTACTTTAAAATATGCAGTATTATCTCATTATTTTGCGACGCTATAACTTACGAACGACTTAAAAGAAGAGACAATCAATCAAACACGTGAGCTTTCCAAAAAGGTATAGTATGACCAGATGCGACGAATAAAACAAGAACTAGCCAACGCCAACTAGCGAAAATACCGCAAGACTTTTTGGACAACCTAATATTTAGAATATTGGAATTTAATGGTAAATGGGCTAATCTTAAAGATTCAGCTTTAGAAAATACACATTACGGATTTTCCATTATCCTTTTAAATTTTAATAACAAAACAAGAGAGAACGCTATAGTCGGGTGCCCCGACTATCAGATACCCGTTACTCAGCTAAAGGGAGTGCGAAGGAGATGAAGGTAAAAACTTTGATCCGCCGTAACTTTTTAACGAATGGTCCGATTTAAAAAATTTCTTCTACATTTCGATAGGTATTCATAAACACAATAAAACTGCAGTTTTACTTTTCCGAAATATTGAAATTTTTAAAATCGTATATAAGCGATTGTGGGCGTTAGAGGGGGCGTGGCACCCTTTTGAAACAAACTTGCGCTGCGTAGGAACTCTTAGAATCTGCATGCAAAATGTCAATCTTCTAGCTTTTATAGTTTCCGAGATCTCAGCGTTCATACAGACAGACAGACGGACATGGCTAGATCGACTCGGCTAGTGATCCTGATCAAGAATATATATAGTTTATAGGGTCGGAAACGCTTCCTTCTACCTGTTACATATTTTTGCACGAATCTAATATACCCTTTTACTCTACGAGTAACGGGTATAAAAAGCAATGTTACGACTGAAGCATAACTGAACAGGTCACACACACGCACGCCAAACCGAAAGAACCCTAAAAAAAAGGGTTGTGCTCTGAGTGTAACAGCTGTTAATCAAAAACCCTTTGAAAAGGTTGACCGATACTTGCAAGCCACAAGCACGTTAGGTTGATGATTGATAGCTATTAAGACCGCTGTCGAGGAAAGTTTATCTAGTCGCTTTTTAACCTCTGAAAGCGTAAAATGCGGATTTGGAGGCCAAACTTCAATTTTTGCACTTAGGGATGATGGGCCACTGAACCACAAGGATCATTCAGCTCTGTAATAGCGCATCCGCGAGACAAAAGATCTGCTGGATTTTTTTTAGTTGGCACGTGGCACAGTGAGCTTCCGCTGCCATTTCTTGCATATCAGCAACTCTGTTTGCACAAATACGTTCACTGATAAGCCGGACTGAGATTCTATTGGTCGTAACAACACGCATACAAGCAGCCAAATGACCTTTTTCTTGTATTCCAAGTTTTGATTTATTATTACAATTTAAAATAAATATAAGTATAACAAACAATGGTAGGTGGGGGTTTGGGTGTGGGTGTATGGGGGTGTAGGGATAAAAGTGGTGGCTATACCGCCACTAAGCATTGCTTCGCCCGGTCAGCCCACGATGCTACCTCCTTTCTCTTTCCTTCATCACCTCGGCT